TCTGCTGTGTCGAATTAATTGGAGACTGAAAGACGCCTCTGGGGTGCAAAGGGTTAACGATATTTCTACAAGAGACTTCGAATTTTAACTTACAATTGTTTGCTGAGTTAGTCGCATATTCTGAATTGATTTTCCGACTTCTCCAGTGATGATAATGAAATCCTTTGCACTCAAGAGGCGACACTCGGCAAAACTATGAAGTTGAATATTTAGTATTCTAAATGAAACTTTGTATCGCTACGTGAAATATTTAAATAAGCTTCGTTGCTTAATTTATCTATGAATTATCGTTAAATTAGTTTCAAACAATGTCACCTATATCTCGTCGGAAAATGTTCAGTATTTCCAGTGAAGAGCTTTCGAGTGCAAAGGGTTAAACTGAGAAAATAATTTTGAGTTAAGATTTCAAGTGTTTTCTGACAGCGCCGGTAAAAATAGTGTTACAGGATATCTAAATGTAAACTGGCATAAGTAGAGTCTAATAGGAATAGGAAACAAAACGAAAATGAATAATAGCAAGAGACGCATCCACGTCTAGAAATCTACTAAAAATTGCATTTGCGTCATATGTACGTTACGTTTCTCTACGGAAACTAGTGCGTCGCATACGTGGATACGTCGAAGGGTTAACCCTTTGTGGACGAAGGTTTATAGGAATGTACAAAACCTTCAACAGACGAAACTAAATGATTTATCAATCGCTTGATCGATAGAAAGAAAGGAAACTACGTGCAGATCTGTAGATGTTCGAGTAATTACCTCACTCGTTTGCGGCTTGGTCTTCCAAATATGAACATTTCATCTCGCCAAAATGTCGACATTCGTCCGCAAAGGGTTGAAACGGAAGCTTACTCTGTTTCATTAGAGATTTCATTCGGAAGCCGCGGGTAGAGCGCACGCGTTCGCCGGAGACACAGATTCCTTAAATCCACCGTCTATTAGCAAACCAATCATAAAGTTTAATGGCATTTTTCTGCGGGTTTATGGCCGCGGCTTTAATTAACTGATAAACTGGGAACCCAGGCATTCCGTGGGACTACGTAAATCACGTTTATCGGCTGCGCGCGGATGTTTATGCGAAATACACATTTGCAGAAGTGAATCGACAATAATGACAATTAATTGGAAGGTTGAGCGCCGGAGTTCGGCGTGGGTTTCATCATGGCGAGGATAAAACGGGAAAGTTATACGTAACGTGCATCGACACGGCGCGATCCCGATGCCACGAATTGAATTTCATTCGTGTCGATTGTTCCGACGCGTCTATTAACGCGCATCCGTTCCGGAGGCGACATCGGAATATTAACGCTAGAACTCTGCCGTAACAGTCGAAATGACTGGTTTTGTTCTCGTTTCGCAGTTATTGATATCTTAACCCTTTGCGGTCCATTGATTTTATTAGAGTGCTAGTGGGCAGATCCAAGTTAATTTATAAAACGAAACAAGTCAATTTGAATAAATGAAAAAAAATACAATTGTAATGAATTAATTGATTTGCTTATGAAAACAAATTATAATTTAAAATTAGTTAACATACGGTATCTTTTAAATCAATTTCCTACGTGAATTGCGATTGCAAGAACCGCTATAAGTATGTCAATTGAACATGTCCAGTGATACTGGACCCGTTCAACGAAAATGTGATGTCCAGTGATACTGGACAGTGTACCGGAAAGGGTTAACACTAGAACTGCCGAGCATTTAACACATTCGCTACCAGTGTCATATTTGTGACGGTCGCAATCCTATATTTTATATAAAGAAAATTAAATGAATCCTATAGATATAGTTAGTTGAAGTTATAAGCTACAGACTTACATTTAGGGATTCAATGACTCGTTTTAGCTTCATTTGTTTCGATAGTGTGTTGAGAAAACTTATTGAATTGAATAAAATATTATAATTGAGAATTCAGATCGAACGTGTTAATTAATATGTAATCCCTATAAAAATTGTGACTTCAAGATCATTTCGAATATTCGATGCTTTTACTGATACTAACCATATTAATCACTGCGAAAAAAAGAAATCGAAACCGGTTATTTTGATTGTTACGGGTAGTTCTAGTGTTGAAAGCATCGAATATTCGATATGATTTTCAAAATAGTTTCGCTTGAATGCTACAATGAATGTTTCAAGAAACCGAAAATAATCTTTTGTTATAATTCTTATGGGGATTACATATCGATCGTATTAAATGCTCGGCAGTTCTAGTGTTAATATCCGAAGGAAGGAAAATCGTCGTTGTAATCTATAGATTCCGGTCCGACGAATAATCCTCTCCATCTATGTTAAAAACTTTCCATTACGAGAATCGGGGGAAAGAAGTCTAAATATCATTCGCTCCAAAGTCGAGAAGGATTATTCATACGCATAATCGTAAAAGGGAAACACGAGTTTCTATCCAGTTCTCAACTAGAGCGAAATGATAATTCCTATCCGCGAGATCGCTCGAGCGAACGATCGGGACCGACCTTTCTCGAAGCATAATTTCGATCCACGACATTTTACCCTCGGCGGATCGATGCACGAGGAACTAATCCTCGAGATCACCGAATCGAAATCGAAGATCATCGATCGTTACGCTTCTCTCGGGGATAGTTCCCCTTCGAACTCACCAATTCGCAATCGATGCACTCATTGGAAGCTTGAAAGTGAAACGCCGTGCGAAGGGAATTTAAGATGTATAAAATATTTATTTATCTCGTAGTGCTCATTAAGGGAAACCATCGTTTATCGTAATTCTGTTTCTTTAGCGTTTTGCAGTGGCGATTTTCAGTATATCAACATTATACAGTTCTATACGCAATGTCAATTTAACGCGTTATATAAGCATTGTCTAGTAAATGATTACAGTGGTTTTGATTGTAAATGAATAAACATGAATTTCCCTAAAGAACAATGGAATAAACTGTACGATAAATGTAAACCTATTGTTAACCTTTGTAAAATGCATTAATATGTGAAGGGATAGAATAAAATAGCTCAGTTCCTCAATTTACGTACGATTTCTCATTAACCCCATGTCCTATGTTTTCTTCTCTCGATTCTGAATTTTATGTTCCTGAAGGTGAAAGATTAATAATAGACAACTAATATCTCATTCATATTCAAAATAAATACTACTTGGGTTTGTCGAGTTCGATTAAAAGGTTTCAATACGAGATTATAGGAGAAGTTACATTCATTTAAAAAAAATGTCGTGCATATCTCATCAGAAAATATTGAATATGTCCAGTGAAAAATTATCGAGTGCAAAGAGGCAATTATATTTTCAAAAATATGAATTTATTCACAGATCCATAGTCAAGCATTGATATAAATATAAAATCACGATCGAAGCGGTGTCGAATATTTCCAGTGAAGAATTAGAAAAGGGTAACTACGTTCTAAAAAATATGAAGCTACCTAAACATCCATAATCAAGCGACAACGTAAACAGTAAGTCACGATCGCAGCGGTTGAGTTCCGCGAACCGTGCGAAGGAGGTTGAATGATATAGACCGGTCGCGACCGATCACGGAAAAACGGTGGGACTAGTTCGACGTCTCGTCAATGGACGGTCTACCGAGCAGACGTCGCTGGGCCGCATTCCGTAAAACGGGCACGTACCGCGCGCGTTTGCCGGAGAGTATTTACCCGAGTACTGTTACGCGAGAGTCCCCAAGATAGAGAGGATCGCGAAACGCCGATACGCAATCTTCCCCACCCACGTTGCCCCCGACATTTTCCATTCAGTTTCCCGGCCGCCCACCCCGGCCAGCCGAGCGAGACGGCCGCAAATCGCGGAATTCGTTCCGCGAGAAAAATCCGCCGTTCTACCTGTTTCTCGGTCCAGGTGGCTCGAGGAGTCCAGGGAAACGTAAAACTAACGCGAAAAGGCTCGAGAAAGAGTACGTTTCAGTGGAGACAGAAGAAAAACATAGCAATTTGTGTATGTTTGAGACTTTGGAAGTAGCCTTTCTGAGCTGTTGTTATTAGAGAAATGGTACTTATCAGGATACTGTTATTTTGTGAATACTGTTTTTGACTTTGGAAGGAAGTAGGATGGTTGAGAGCTTTGGGAATGAGATTGATCTTGTGTAACTGAAATGGTAACATGTCCATCGATGTTTCGTTGAAAATTTACGGGATGTGTTTCGGATGTTAACAGTTCTGAATGATTTGAGACAGATTTCTTCATTAGATATGTTTATGGTATTACTGAGATTGAATGTAAACATTTGATATTTTGAAATGATGTTCAATGACGAAACTGTCTCGTCAGCATCTTTCAACAGAGAGATCGAGAAAACAGTAATTCCTAAGGAAGAACCTATTTATATTTATACGTGGAAGCATAGATCGGATTTCCCAGGGAAATCCACGAGGAAACGGGACGTTCTATAATAAAAATGGTCACCCGAGACAGCGTGTCACGTTCCGCGCGCTCAAGGCAGCTCTCCGAGGCTGCGGCGGGAGAAAGAAGAGGCGCAGATGCGACTTTCGTGACGACGCATCATCGTTATTTCCGAATGTCAGGCGCTCCCACGTGATCTTACGTAAACAACAAACAACGAATATAACACGCGTCGTCGTTTTCCCATCGGGGGTTACGGAGAAAAACGCTCCGATCTGTTCACGTGTCTGGTCGTTTCGCGCAACTTGTTCGAACCCAGCACCGTGGGAGTGGAAAAAAAATGATCAACGTAGTGCGTTCACCGAGTGGAACACGCAACCGGCACAAAGTAGCTTTGTCCAGTGTTCCCATCGAGCAAAATAGAAAAGCACCAATCGGTTTCCACCGACAAAAGGATTCCCCCTTAGCAACATCCGATAATGTCTTCCAATTAATCGCTGAAACTCCGTATCTCTTCAAGCTACCCAAAGATATCTTCGATAAGCTCCTTAAAAACATCGACGAGAGACGAATATAAACAGCCCAGCAAGACGGAACTTCTCCAAGTTTCTTGAATGTCAAGTGGACCACGCGCCAAAGCCGAAAAAAGAAGCTCACTCACCGAGAAGAAGAGCTGGCTCCCGGTTGTCCTCGAGCAGCGCGACCAGCACGAGGAATAGGGGATGCTGCACGGGCAACCGGTCCACGTCATCGGTGCAGTCGTCGTAGACGACCACCTCCCTGTAGTGTCGTTTCCGCAGCAGTTCCTTGCCTTCCCTGGTGGTAGCTAAGTCAGCGAGGGTAGCCTTGCCGAGCTGCAGCCTGCGCCGATTGAACCGGTCCGAGCAGTTCACGTTGATCGCGCCCCTCACATGGTTCACATTGTAGAGGATGAAGGGTCGGCAGTCGAGCAACACGGTCGGGTGGCCGTCGGTCTGACGGCGACCTAGCAGACGCTGCGCCAGGTCGTCCGCGGTGATCGTCCTGGTGCGCTGCAGCACGAGCTGCCTCTGCAGCGTGTTGTTGTCGTTGCAGGGGCTCGCGGGCAGGCTGACGGTCTCCAGCTTGCAGCGTTTCGAGGCGGACAACTGGTGCTGATGGAAGTGGTGATGGTGCAGATGGTAGTGACGGTGGTGCACGTCGACCAACGGCAGGTCGCAGTCGGTCCCGCTGCTGCTGGTCGTGCTGCAGCCGCTGATGCTGCTGCCGCTAGCGTTCAGGCTGCAGTTCGCGCTGTCCGCGGCGTCCACGATGTCCACGCCGCTGCTCGTCGACGAGCTGGGCGACACGGTGCCCGAGGTCGGCGACGACAGGAAGCTGCTCGTGCCGGCCGGCGGGCCTGGCTCGCTGAGGCTACGATTCAGAACGAGCTTCAGGTTGTCGCGGGACCGTCCCGCGGTGACCGGCTCGCAGCACACCAATGTCGACATTGTTGACGACGACGAGCACTGTTCCTGTTGACGAGCTTCACGCTGGGGATGGGCCGCCGCCGCCGCCACCGCCGGCTGCTTGACGTCAGCCCCGGTTATATCGAGACGCGACCCCGACGCGTACGCTGAAACCGAGGAACAAGATGATCCGTTAGACGGAGGCGGGGTGATACATGGATCGAGGAAAACTGGGGATGAGTTTCTGCGTGATTTCGAGCTTTCGGGGTATCGTTGGTATGCTCGCGAGGGTGGGTGGTAGGGGCGCGGTTGAATTTTAGTTTGAAATTGTTGAAACTGGAATTGGAAAGGTTTGCGAGGCTTTGAAGCTGTTCGAGGTTTTTCGGAGTAGACACTGGAAATTTGAGGAGCTCGTTTTATTCGTTAGAGGGATTCTTAGGTAGTGGTTTTATAAATTTTTTGTTTGAGTTTCTAGAGGTTTTAGGGAAGTGTGAAGTTTTGATATCTTGAAATTTGAAAGATTGAGTTCCTAGAGGTTTTGTATTCATTTCGTCGAAGATTTTCGGGTTTAGGAATTGAAATTCGTTCATCTGCGCGTCATACGTTTCATTTGAAAAATCGCATCGGACGATTTATGCGAACGTGGTTCGAGCTAATGGACACAGCCACGGGAGGACGATAAGATTACGATTATTGATTTATGTTTATTCGAAACTATCACTTCAGACTAATTAATGTTCCTTTCGTCGAAACAGCTTCTCTTCTTAATGAGGGTTCTGTTGTGGAAAGCTAATCTAACGAAGGGGAATTATCTCTGTTCCGTAAAATCGCTCGGGATGTATCACTTAGAAAAGAGATTTATTTACCATGAAACAAGATAGCATCTCAATTAAAACTATCGTACTATCCTCAATCCAATTACCCTTTGATTACGTTTAATCCCTTGATGAATCTCTACAACTTCACAAGCCTAACTTGAATAGCTAATATTTTACCTTTTCACACAAATGAATGGATACTATTATTCACAGCTTTTCGCCTTTATAAGAATTCTGTTAACTATCGGATTGCGGTGGCTGGGTCTATTTTCACTCGGACTTTCAAAGCCTAACACTCTCCCCACTAATACCAAACTTAACCCTTAGCACTCCAGATGGTTTTGTAATCTACCAGCAACTGCAACTAATTTTTATGGTATCCCTAGCAAAAATGAAAAATGCTATAACATTTCTTAGACCTTTTATTATCCTTCTTAATGCAAAATATAGATGTGTGAAAAGTCGAATAATTGTAGGGTAGTTTCCTTAAGATTCATTAAAATATCTAATATTATTCCTGGTGCAATATTGGAGCCTCCAGAGTTCAAAGGGTTAACTCACTAGTCAATAATGCCAGATCCAACAAGAGCATCAATCTTGTAGAAGCACCTTGGAAAAAATATCCACAAAAATGAATAACCAAACATTGAAGAGGTAAGTCTCAGTCACCACTCGATTTAATACAGTAAAGTTATACAGTTTTATATACAATACTAAGCTTCGATTCAATACTTGAAACATGGAAATACATTAGTTTCCTTTCTCAGTTAATTTCTGATTTCGTACTAAGTTCATTCTAAAAAGTGTTATTTACATCTCATTAGAAACCGATGAACGTTTCTAGTGAAAAGCTTCCGAGTGCAAAGGGTTGATCGTTCCTCGAAACCGTGGTAATCAGCACGAATTTTAACTAACAATCCTCAACACATTGTGTATCGGTTAATTCTTAGAAAACTCGGAAGCGTGGATGATTTTCAATGAGATCAACTTGTACCATTACATGTAGAACAGTCAAATCTTATTATCATTTGATAAATTAAAAAATAATTTAAAAATACTCTATTATCCTCTTAAACTCCTTGTCCTACGAGTGCGACTCGTGGTGAAGATTTTCAATGTGATCCAACAAATATATATATTACTCAGTTCATTCGAATTCAAAGTAAATATTATTCCTCTGTAATCAACTATTATACTTAACAGGAAATATAGGCATAACGTATGCTTAGAATTTTTCTCTTTTTCCAATAAATTATTAGTAACAAAGTAACCGTATCGATCAGAGTTGAGAAAGAAATCATAGACCAAGGAGTTACCTATTAAAAATGGTTCTCATAAAATTCAATATTTTTTAGAACGACGCGATAGGTCTCGAAACTGCGGAGGTACATAGGTGTTTCTATAAAAACGAAATTCCTCGTTTTCGGTACGAAATTTAACAACATTTACCCGCGGCTGCGCCTATGCGGCGTTATCAGCGGCGTCCTGGGTTAACGATAGCCTCGAGGACAGAAGACGATCTCCGATATCGTGCAGCGACCTTTAATCTATCGGACCGAGTGCGGGGCGACAGGTCGCGTATTTTTTTTTGTTTCGCGGCAGCGTATCGGCACCGCGGACGCGCCTAATCGGTGACTCAGTTAATGGTTTCACGGTATATAGAAACCCGGGCTTCCTCATTGCTGGGCTTCCATGAACTACGATAAAACTGTGCGCGCACACGCCGCCCGTCTGGTCGTTAACTCCGCCGCGATTCGTGAACGATGTAACCGAACTAGCTGACAGGCGTTCGCGGAAACTGTTTCGCTTATTTCTTTCACCCCCTGTCCAGGAATACTGGCTTCCCTGACATGTACTTCGACCGAAAGCGTTCACGATCCAGTTCCTCTCGATGTCCAAAGAAAATCGTTACACATTCATTCTCAAAGTTTCTACTTCGGTAGTTTTCAATATACTCATCGTGTATTCATCTTTCGCTCTTTGGAAAGTGATTCTTTGTATAAATAGATTAACAAATATGAATTCATCATTCTGAATGAACATATAACGACTCTTCTTCGTTGACACGTTGAATGCCATTGAGATCACCGGTGACACCGAAACGAAGTGAATTATTATAGTTCAATGAAATGATTCTATGGAAACATTTCTATATTATAAACAATGCTAATACGATGACATTCGGATGGATGACTAGTAATAATGGAATTCAAATGATTGAAAATTTGGTGTGTTTCCCTCTATGAAGTCTTGTTCAACGTGTTAATTTCCCTCGGCAGTCTAATTCACGATTACCTCGTATCACTGTTAATTCTCCGTTACCCTCTTTCTCTTTCCCCGTTCTCCAGCGACGTTCCACGCGCGCGTTGTTGTTGTTAACGATTAATTGTTAATGCGCCCCGCAGCGGCACCAGGAACAACAACACCAGTGATAAGATTATGAATAATACCGGGAAAACCGCGCGGCGACGAGACGAGGACCACGCTGCTCCCGTTCGAGGCTGTTGCGACACGCGAGCGCGCGTCGAGGAATTACCGTGACACGACCAGGTAAATACTGAATTCGATAGGTCGCGGTGCCGACGACTGTCGTTTCTGTTCCGCCCGTTTAAATAGCGGTGCGTGCCGAGACTCGCGCGATGAGTCAACCGGCCGAAATACACCGGGCGGCCGCGTGTTCCCCGCGGTCGTTCCGCGGCGACGAAAATATTCCACCGTTTGCACAGGTGCTCCAGACACCGACCGGCGTCGTTATCCCGGGAAACGAGCGGATCGGCCGACGACTGCGACGCGGATGAATCGGCCGGTGGCCCCGTGAACTGTTCCGCGACCGCGGCTCGCGTTTTCGCGGAAGTGCATCGCGTTCCGGCCCGATGTTGTACAGTTCGATTGGAACATCGTAGCGACTGTTGTTTCCGAGCAGAGAACAACGGGAGATGTTAGGTAGATGTTAAGTTAGATAATGAAGGTATGAAATTAGATACTAACCCCCAGCGCTGGGAAACTTTGTAGCAACGGTTGTTTCCAAGTAGAAAACAACGAGAAATGCTAAGTAAAATAGTGGAGATATGAAATTAGAAATTTCTTGTGTTGAGAAACGTCGTAACAACGGTTGTTTCCGAGTAGAGAACAACGAGAGAGATCAACAGAAGTACCAAGCAATTAAACCGACTTCTGAAAATTTCTTTATAAAAGATACTTATTAAGATTTCAGTTTAGACATTACTAAATCAGTTTCTGTAATCATTGCTCGCGTGTATCCGTACCTTTTCAATAATTGCGAAATAAGATATCAAGGAATAGGTGATTTTGACGCGTCTGGTAGTTTTAGTATTAAACAGACATCAAACAGAGGTATGAGATTAAATATGAAAATACTATAATCAATCTAATCGCTCGTTCATAACCATCGAATACATAATACACAGTGCATAAACCATCCAATCTAATGCAGTTGCCAATAACCTGCTTCACGCAACTTAAAAAATAAATAAAAGAAACAAAGTTCTACCTTACGAAAACAAGAACAAGAGAACTTCACGTCCCGATTCAAACAAATGTCAATCCGTTACCATTCATCGCGTGAAGCTACATCCAATTCACTCATCAATACGATTTGCCATTGAAAATATTGAAATCCTAAAGACTGGAAGAAAGAGCTTCCACGTATTTCTACTTATTCGAAATTCAAATCTGAAACTAACAGAAATAGCTTCAATCGATCACAATCTAAACGATGAACCTCTGCCGAACACTATTTTCGCGAAGAAACCTTAATTATCCTTGCCGGATCCGGGACTCTGTATCGAGGGCAGAACAACCGGTGTCTTAAGGTGGACGATTGACTTTGCTAACCTTGGAGGATGTCGTTCATAAGCGCGAACCTGAAATAATGGCCGCGCGGCTTCGCTTGCATAATGATCGACGGTGACGCGTCGTTCGCCCCGGCCACGATCGCGGCCGAGAGTGAAAGCACACGCGCTTCCTTCTCTGCTCGCTCGCTCGCTCGCTGCCTAGAATTCGTTCGCTGATTAACCGGTGCGTAATCTCTCTTATGTACGCGCACGCTAGCTGCGCCGCGAGATAACGGCTAAATAATGCGACCGCGTCGTCGGACATTGCGTCGTGTTCCGGTGTTTCAGGTGCGGGAACCCGTGCGATAATGGAGGTGAACGAACGGGGGTGGAAACGGGGCTGTGATTTATAAACCATAAGTCTTATACGATACCCGAGTTACTTTGGTGGTGCTGTTGACAGTGACTCTCAATTATCAATTATGTTTCCTGCGTTATCTTGGAGCATCGGATGATGGAGTTACAGGATGTTAGTGGATATAAAATTCACGTAAC